CTGCACTTCTGATTGCTGTTTCAGAAGAAAACATCTCTAAGAAAATAAATTTGTTTGGTACAGTGCATGATTTCGGAGCAGAGGATTGTCAAATTAGTATCCAAGTCATAAGACACATAAAACACTAACCCAAACAGCACAGGAGTAGAAGAAGAAACCCTGTGGCATAAACAATCATAAACGTAGATACACTTAGCAATATGTAGAGGCCTGCAGACATTAGCTCAATCCGATTTCACTGCCCCTCAGATTTTTTTAAAGCAAGATTTTTAGGCTGCAGGCTGCCGGCGCCTTCCTGGGCTTGAGGCGCAGCCGGGCCCTCCCTCGCCCCCCGCGCCGTGAGGGTGCAGCGGGGGTTTCAGGCACACCTGCGGCCCGAAGCGTCTCGCAGCCGCGCCTGGAGCGAAGCGCCTTAGAAAATGGAGAAGGCAACTGTAAAATAAAGTGCACCGGGCCCTGCGCCTTCTGCGCGCGATCCTTGGCACCGAAGAGCACCGGCGGGGAGAGGGCCCATGGGAAATGTTAACGTGTGAAAACGAAGGGTTTTGTCTTTTTTCTTCAGAATAAGGCTCACAGTAGACCAGAAATAATTCCTGTTTTTTCCAGCCCTCGAGGAAGGGAGGATTGAAGAAAGGCGGGGTGAAGAGGCAGCGAGGGGTTGGGTTCGTGTGGGATGCCCAGGCGTGCGCTCAGCTCTGCTCCTTTCAAAAACAGGCTTCAGAGGGCTGATTGCTCCAGTTTCTGAGGGCTTGTAAGACTTGTCCCTTGTTTCTTCGCAGCACAGCATCATTCCTGGACAGTAATCCAAGAAAATGCACCAGTAAGAAGAGGGAATGCTGAAAACCATTTTCTGACCTTAACAATCCATCCTTCTCTCGAAATTGTCTTTGTAATTACTAGTATAGAAACCTACTGCTTACTTTATATAGTGAAACCTTCCACATGCCTTCCTAAGATAAGTTAGATCTACTCATTTGGAAAGTTAATCAGTAATTTCAAATGACAGTGTGGGAATGGCCAAACATACATGGAAACCAATGCAGTTGCCACTGTGCTCAGCAGGTGTCAAGTTTGGTATTGGAGAAGAAAAAACAGCGGCTACACTTGTCTTCACTTCCAAGTGAAACAGTTAATAATAAATACCTACATTTGTTACAAGTATAAAGCAAAGCTTTCAGACATTCTTTTTAAAAATTGGGTAATTTTCTTGATAGCTCTATGAGTTATGTAAGCCATGGTAAGCTGTAAAAATTACAGTCTAAATAATGTCTCAGTGTTCCAAAAACATTTTGCTGTAGGCTAGATGGAAGTTCCCTTAGTAAACAACTATAAACAGCTAAATCTTTATTCCTCCACAGGCCATCTTGCCTCTCAAACTCCAAAATCTATATTTGCATACTTGTGCCTACTGACAAATGCTTTTTATGTGCCTCTTTGTGGTCTGACAGGGCAAAGTTGTCAAATATTCTTGGTTTAATACATATAGTGCTACTCGATCAAAATAAAATAGGTGAGAAGGGAACTTTATGTTGCACAAATGCAGAAGTTACACGCATTTTCAATAATAAAATCCCTGCCTTGTGCTTAGCCATTAACAAAAGGAAAGGGGTGACCACACATAGCCACTGAATTGGGCTGAGAGAGGCTGATGCACTGTCAGCTGCCAGAAGTCAATTTTAAAACTTAGGCTTTGATAAATCCTAGTTAAGGATAGCTACATTTTTTTGAAACATCAGCACTACAGAAGGATAAAGAGGCAAACTAATAGCACTGCAGAGTATTTCCTTTCCTATCTCCCACTCTCAAAGTATTGGACCGTCTCTGTCTTTACAGGACATTAAGTGACAGATGTTCCTGGTTTGAAAAAGACGACTTAAAGGAGTGTGAAAAAACATGGATTCTGTTACTGAAAGGCATCAATGAAGACTTAGAATGCACAGACTGGCAATCCGTGCCCAGTTTTCCGGAGTTCTGTGGAAAGGTAGTGTGCTCTATTCTTGTTTGCATCTTGTGTCCTGCTAACAGTAGTGACAGCCTGAACAATGATGTTAACGGGGAAACAATCTGAAATAGCTTTGAAATAGATGGTTTTCAGCAAGGACAACTGAAAGGGCTTTTTTTTTTTTTTTTCAGTATGGCAAATTCTTAACAGCATTTTGCTGGGAAGAGGTAATTAGAATCTCCCTAACAGAATAAAACTGGAAAAGGCAAACTAACAGAGATGTTCGTCACACAGACACAGCCATTACAGCGCTCTGATAGCATTAAGCAGTTCTCAGAACACACAAGCCACAGTCCTTCTAAAGTTAATTTTTTCTTCCTGAACAGCAGCAGGTGGTTGTTTTCATCCTTAGTCTCTATGGAACATATTAAAAGAGTACCTTATTGTATCAATTTAGAAATGTTAAAGGAAGACACACATTGCATAAACTCCAGGAAGTCCTTGATTGCTTTACAAGTGCTGGAGACAGATGTAAAGAGAATGTTCTCTTTTTCAATGTAGTTTAGCCTTCTCCCTGTTTGTAATATGTTCAGCCTTGGTTTTATGTAGTGATTGAACTGCATTTGTTTGAAGACATTATGTGTGTGTGTGTGTTACAGAGTTCCAAGGAAGAGAGTCTACAGAAACAAGAAGTCTTTACAATTGGAATGAAAGACTTCCAGTGGGTATCGTTCCCATCTTTTTGCAAAGAACAATGTCTAAAATCAAAGAATCTTAGCGTGGACCAGCTAACAGAGAGCCCGACAGACCATTTACAGAAAGGACAGGACCAAGCAGATAAATTGAAAAGTTTACTTTCTACAGCTGAAAAAACATGCTGTGTAGCTATTACAGATCAAGCCAAAAATATGGTTGGGGAAGACACAGAAGTTCTCTCAAACCCAGAGGTAAGTCCCAAATCACATCAACTCATGCAACCCAGCTCTACGCATAACTCGGCATTGTTGCAAAGCTCTGCAGAAGCTTTTAGCTTTCAACAGCAGTGCAGAGGGACTGTACAGAGCAGCTGGGAAAACAGAAAAGAAAATGATAGGGAAGAGCTTCAAATACAAACACATGAAGGGATTATTTCATTTGGTGAGGCTGGATACGTGCCTGCAGAAGAGCAGCCGCCTCTTGCGAGCGTACCTGGAACTGAAAGCTGCAAGAAAATGGAAAATCCAAGTGAAGCATCTTCAACTCTTGAGAGCTGTCCAATGTGTCAGATGGATTTCAGCAGAACGTAAGTCTTTCCTTTAACAACTTCACAGTATACAAAACCTAAAATGGTTCTGGATGCATTCTCTATATACAAAATAATGAAAGTTTATACATATATATATATGTATATATACTATATACAAAATGATGAAAAGAAAACTTCTAGTGTAAGGTACTATGTTAACTATCAAAATTACCTACTTTTCAGTTTAGAGGTTTGTGATTACTAGATTACTAGTACTGCTTCAAGGGAAAGCAACATTTGAGCTCTTTGGTAAACATTGCTACTGTATGCAGAATTAGCATTTTTAAGTACTTGAATATGAAAAGACCTTTTTGTGAAATTTCTATCATCATCCAAACACCATTCCAGCGCAGCGTTCTTGATAGTTAAAAGCCAACTTTAGAACTAAAACAATTAATCTCATACCTGTCCCTTTCTCTTCAAGATCAAGACTGTTACAGTGACACTGCTACTTGTACAGCAAGTACCTGGGCAGCTTGAGCTGAGCAACTGTGCTCTTTGTTTTAGAGATCATTTTCAAGGTCTGGGCAAGATAGGAGGAAGCAGATTTTTTTTATGCAAGCTCTGATTATCACAGCTAAATGACACTTCAGTCCTCTGTTGCTGTTGGGCTACTTTTATGAAAGAAAAAAGTCCTCCCTCCCATCAACTGAGTATCTACTCTGCAGTAAGAGTTATGGTGTCTCTTGAAATTACACCATTTAATAGGATTTAGGCTGTCAGAGTTGCTGAAAATGTGCTTTTCAGCAGGTGCACCAACACTGCAAGGTGTACTGGCTGCAATTTTGTTTTCTTTCGGAGGCTAAACAAGGAGACAAAAGGATGGCTTCATTAATAAATGGTGGTCATTACAGCAAGAGATATAGACAAAGACTGAACATACTTCAGGTCTTTGTATTTGGTTCCATGCAAGTGGTAACTCTGTGCTGATCAGGATTAGTTTCAATGTTTACAGAAGCAGCTTCACAAAAAAAAAAAAAAAAAAAAATCATTGTAACATGGGCAGGGGGGAGGGTCCCATCACCACCACAGAAGTAGCTCTCTGAAAAAGGAAACTGAAGGCAGACATGAGACAGCATCCTTCCTCTACAGGAATCTCGTTTCCTGTATCCCCGAGCTGGAGGTGGATGTGGAATACAGTAAGGGTTTTTGAGGCTCATGTTTCTGAGGATGGCATTGCTGTCCTGAGCAGACGGGGTGGGAGTGCTCTCTGCTAGTAAATGCCCTTGTCTGGCTGCCGAGCAGCTGGAGGTCTGAGTCTGTTGCAGATCGCAGGGCTTCTGAGGAATTACTTACCCCTTAGGCTACGAGAACACTTCTGCGATTCTGCTTAGGAAATGAGAGAGCGAAAGGTGAAGAATGGCTTAAATCAAAGGGGTTGGCTTGTGTTTCTCACTGAACAAGTTCTCTGTATTTGCAGACTGTCACAGCTGGATATTGACGGGCACCTTGCGAGGTGCTTGTCTGAAAGCACAGATGATGTCGTGTGGTAAATCAGAAGAACGAAGAGCGAAGGAATGAGGCCAAGGATGAACCTTTCTCCAAGGAAAAGGAACAGCGTGTCAGGGAAGCACACCCTTGTCTCAAACTTGCTTAAGGATCACAAGCCAGTAACTCAACAGAAGGTCAAGTGCCACCTGCACGTTCAGGATCTTTTTGCTTTAAATCCTCTCCAGTGCCTGTGAAGGAGTTCTAGTTCTGAAAATGGTGCTACAGGACGTCCCAGAGACCCCCAGGGAAATCAGTCTTGGCCCTCCTGCAATCTGGGTATTTCTGAAAAGATGTCCTGCTGTAAATCCCCGATGTTCTGTCTGATGCACCACAGTTGTTCAAAATCTCTAAGCGTAGAAGAAAGCAGCTGAATAAAAGTTAACTATTATTTAAACTTATCCAAAGGTTTACTGACCTCTTCTTTTTTTTCCCCTCTCTAACCAGGTAATCTGTGAAAATAAGCTTGATTAAAAAGCCATTCAAACTTAGCATTTTTCATTATTTTAATATCTAAGTAAGGATTTATATGATTGAACAGTTAATTCTGTGAATATATGTTAAAAGAAAACACCATCCACACCAAATAAAGGGTGTGGGCTATTTTTTTTTTTTATCTTTCTGAAGGAACACAGCTAAATTCATCACCTCACTTTGTAGGTTTCTAAGTCAGTATCCACTTGATTAACATGACTAGTTTATACTAATTAGGCTCCAGAAAGAACACTTCTGCCAGTTTCACAAGACTGAAATGCAAAGCAAGATTTAATATAGGCACTCAGCCCAAACAGCTGCTGTTTCTATCAGTTTCCCCACTCCCCCCCTCGAAACCATTCCTGTTTGAGACTAAAGACACCTGAGCACTGGCTGTGGCTGGAAACTACACCCAAGACTCATCTATGTGGGTAACTTCAGAGTAGCCAGTAAACGTTTTGTAAGCTTGAGAAAAAGCAGCCTTTTGGGCAAATGACAATAAATGCCATTTAGTGACAGTTGAGCACCCAGGGGCAGGGCTGAGCCTGCTGGCCCGTTCCCCCAGGGGCCGGCCCGGGGCTTCCAGCACAGCCCCAGTGCTCAGGAGCTGAGCCCCAGCCCTGCCCACGGCCCAGAGCAGCACAGCCCCCGCAGCAAACCTCTGCCCTGGGCCTCGCCACCACACAGAGAATAAACACAGACTACGGTATCAAAATGCAGGAAGAATCCTATAGATTTAATTTACAGTGGGGTCTCTTTAAAAAGTGCAAGTTGGACATAGCTCAGTTTACTGATAAATAATAACAGTCTATTAACTTTTTCATTAAAGTCTTTAATAGATGTGCAAGAATATAAATGATCTTAGCTGTTATGGATTAGTATACCATCTTCTGCACAATTAAAACTGGTCAGCAAAGATCCCAACTAATTAATTATACAAAACTACAAGAACATATTTACTGTTTTACAATCATTAAATTAGCTAGAATTTTCATTTACTATTTCAAATAAGACAACTATATATCATTACCAGATCCATTTGTAATATATTAGGATTTTTTTTTCCAAACCACACATTTAATTACATCCTTCATTTTCTTTTATTTATAAAACAAGTACTTTATATAAAAAATTTCCCCCTTCATCATGAACAGAACATTATTCAAACACTTGCACATGAGCAACCAAACTTGTATCCAGCAAACTATTTGGCAACACAGCAACATTGTAAATGCCTGTAAATTTTTAAATAAAATCAAGTAGTCTTTACAATGTTTGTTTAGCAAATGTGTCTTTCTGTTCTTCCTTCCCTCCCTCCCAAAATGTTCTGAAACCTAGAAAAAAAGGTTAAAAAAAACCCCAACCCACATTTCTAATATTTCCATTTTTAAGTCCTATGCCCTGGCATGTCAAAGGACAGCTTAATCTGTCATACTTCCATTCATGAGCTGCCTGCAGTCACTCTGATAACTACTGATTACTTATTACCAGGGGAGTTGAAAACACTGAAAGAAAAATTATTCAGGGTAGATAAAGTAATTGCCAGGGAGAAGGGGGGGAAAAAAAAAAAAAGTAGTAATTAAAAAAAAAGTCAGATTATATTTAAAAGGTAAATGTTTCTTTAGTAGATAAAGTATCTAAAGTCCAGGCATTTGAGGCAAATACTTCTGACTGGTTAAATTAATTTAGTGCTGATTAAAACACATTTTGCTTAATATGAAAAGCTACAGTCCAACAGAGAGAAACCCGCAACTGAAACCTGAATGGGATTAATACAACTAAATAACCACAGGTCTGCATAATTGTGGCTAATGAGGGGATACAAAATGTAATTGTTAATCAACGATTAATTGAAAATTTTAAACAATGTTTTGGCAGTCTCGTCCTAGCACCTCATGACTTGGATGTGAATCCGAAAGATGTCATGTTCAGCACCTAATGCAATGCTGTACCCTGAGAAAACCGTATGTTCATGTAAAGACAGTGGAAGTGTTTGCAATTTATCCTGCATTTTACACCAGACTAGGTGAGATGTTTTTTTTTTTTTTTTTTGACTTCCCACATAATTTTTTTTTTTCCTTCCTATCTCTACAGCCCACAAAATAGAGTCAAACCAAGAAGAACCGCTGTCTCTGCTGTTGGTACTGACAGGGGCAGGTAGATCTCCACAGCACCTGAAGTTTCAGACAGCAACACACACCTCCTGACCTCCCATGCAGCGACAGGAGCTTTTCCAAGGATCACTAACCTTCTGGATGCAATATACACTCTCCCTGCCCCTAGTTCCCACGAGAAGGGGTTTGATCCTTATCTTTTACTTTATCCAGTTTCTTAGGTATTATTTTTTTCTTCCACTTAAAAAAAATTTCCTACTTTGATGCAAATCATTTTACCAAAACATCCCATTCTCTTATGTAGAATGATTAGTTATTAATATACACCGAGTAATCGTAAGCAGACAGTTTATCATAAGTAGGAGGTGTGCTTTATCAGGAAAGTGTAATTTATATTATGGTTATTCTAGATTTACTATTTAAACTTTAAGGCTATGCTTTATTATGCTTCTGCTCTATTTCTGAATATCTGTATTGTTGACAAAAATACTTTTCAAAAATCTAATATACAACACAACATCATTGTAGGTGTAGGCACTGCTTAAGTATTTTCAGAAATCTTTTGTGTGCAAATTTAGTTTTCTTCAATCTATACATTTGGTAAATTTGGGGTTTAAGACAACAGCTTTTGAAATTGATACTGTAAATTCTAATTTGGAATTAATATTGCTGAGTCACTCTGCATTTCAAATTCGATAAAGATGCAAATGAACATTAGGCTGCAGCTGTGAACAGTATGTTTCATACATAAATGGTTACTTAATATTAACAAGCAGAACTTACCAGCTTTAAGAATGTTCCAAATATGTAATAATTCTTCAAAGCAGTTTATCCATTTAGGCACTTAAATCTTGTACCCAAATTTATGTTTTGATTGCTAATAAAACACAACTCCTTTTAAATATATCTGAGACGTTTAGACAGGTACCACTTGTGAAAAAAGGCATCAAAAATAAGCTTCAACACCACCGTTAATATATTTTATTCTTCAGGATGTTACACTGTGATATTCTTCAATTGGTAGCTCATTGCATCAAATGTTTGTAGAAAGGGTGTGGATCTCAGTTTTTCAGAATGTCCTTTTCCAGGGATGCAATGAACTTTTCAATCCTTCATGAAACAGGCACAAAATGCAAATTCCTTCATTACTGAAGCCAGTTGTGTCAGTGCCCAGAATTTAAGAATCACTAAGTGGCAGAAGACACCCACCAAAATCGTTATTCTCTTCTTTGATTTTCAGCAGCAATTTTTTTTTTTATTATTTTTTTTTTTTTTAAAAATCATTGGTCTCCATCCAAAATCTTACAGTTCCCCAGCCTCGCATGCATATACTGTAGTTAAGGATAAATTTAAAGGTCATTCACACTGTCCACAACGAAGATGTCATTCCTTCATACTGTTTCTTCTGTTGACAGCAACAGTGGATTAATATATTCAAATCCTTCAAATTCTGACTGATCTATTCGCTTTATTATATCTCTGAAAAACAAAGAAAAGCATTCACTTAGTTTTAACAATAGTATTATCAAATAGTATTATTTATCAAAAGTATTTATGCAAATACTATTTTGTTGCTGTACTTTTTCTTCAAATAACAACAAAATACGTTACAGAAATGTATGTCTATGAAGTTGTACAGAAGCAACAATAAATGGGACAAAAATAATTCTCTGAACATAAAAATACTTCACACTGTGTCTTAGGCCAATACCTAAAGCAGCATGACTGGAAATTCTGAAATATCTGATAATGTTTCTTCGGCCCTTCCAGTTTGGCGACACGCATACTCACAGGGCCCCAGGAGCAGCAGAAGTGAGTGGTTTACAATACCAATTTATAAATAAGAAACAGCTATTTTGCTGCCAGCAAGGGCTGCTAATGTTATATGCAAGATAAATACTACGGAGGAGTTAAGCACAGAGCTAATACTTTTAAAAAAATACATATTGTATGCACAGGAAATGCAAGGGAAGGCTTATCAATTGATGTATGTAAGGGAGATATTTTAAGAGCTGATGTTTATAAAACTTCCCACTGTAGGTGCCCATGCACTTGGTATTTCTAATTTTGTTGTTTAGAACCTGTAAAGCAGGAACAGGCCTTGCCGTGCTTTGCTGGCACACAGACACTGAAGTGCTGCACACGTGGGTTTCCAGTCCACTATTTGCTTCAGCTATGCTGGACTCTCGAGAAAGAGGGAAAAGGTTGTGAACTGGAGATCTAAGACAGAGGTAATGCTTTTACAAAAATTCCAGCTTGAGCATGTAGGCACCCCAATACCCACCACAAAAGCTCCAAACACGTAATTACTGGAGGATAAACACTTGCCACCCAAGAATGCAGCAAGAGAAAGGCCCTGCAACAGTGAATTTATTGCCACTGGGGTAGACTCAATGGATTGCTAGTTACAGTGTTCAGTTTTATCATCACAAATTCAATCAATGTAACATTTACTTCTAAAAAAAAAAAAATTAAAAAATTTCCCTGACCAACTAGCTAATCCTGGGGGTTGACTGAGGATTAGCAGGCACTTTATGAAAGGCTTTGAAACAGTATTGTCTTTTCTTCAAAGTAGCTTATCTTTGCTGCGTAACAAAAAGGGGAAAACTAACAGAAGCACATAGGCTGGAATGTGACAATTTTGTGCCATTACTTAAAGCTTTTGCACAGCACACAACAGCCTCTGCTTGCCAACACGGGATCCCACTACATCCCGGGCTGCAGCCAGTATCTAAGAAACTAGAACTCAGGAATCCAGTATTAAAATCCCACTTCCAAAAGCAACGCTTTAGAATCAGCTTTATTAAACATCTGATTAGACCCAAACATTCACTCTAGAACAGCATCAGGAGGCTCTACAGGGGAGTTGGGAACTGTGAAGAATGCAAAGTGCTGGAAATGGAAGAAATCTGTTTTCTTCAGACATGAAACCAGTGGACAAGAGGCTGAAAAGAATCAGTCTTCAGCAAAGGGCATGTAGCTGGATAAGGAAAAATTAACACAAGTAAATTAAATACACTGGAAAGCTAGAAATGTATAATGAGCAAGCAAATCTTTGCTGCTCTCTCACCTAAAAATCCCAGCTGCACAAATATTCAGGATTCTGAGTTGAGATTTTTAATAAGCACCATATTTCCTTTGTTTCATTTTATTTCTGATCCAAATGCTAAACCAGCAGCAGAAAGTTGCGTTGAAATTGATAGAACAGCATAAAAATTTCAAAAGAGAACATGTACTACTATACTCTTTAATGAGAAACAGTATTTTAAAGTTCATTAAAAGGTGCAGTGTAAGCGCCATCTGGCAACAGCATCGCACACTCAAGACTTGAAAGTCACACACCCTGAGAAAAAAAATGAGAACGGACACTCCCTCAGAGCGTGGCATTCCTCAGCACTGAAATACCAGGGTTCTCAGGGATGGCATCCGGCCCATCCTCTGCCCTTAGCTCCGACAATACATTTATCATCAGACACATGCTAAGTGCTGCGTAACTAAATGAAGTCA